ATCGCATCATATGACCCCTTTAAACTAAACTAAAAAATTAGTAATGTTGCCTTGTCAAACTAACTTAGTTTAAGTTTACTGGACAACTAGAAATAACTAAAAATTAACTGGACTAAAACTAAATTACACTTTAGAGTAATATTTTAAAAAAGGTAATAAAAATCACAAAATAAAAAAATTCCATAACAAATAATAAAATTACTAACAAATTTAACTAAAATGAAAACTGAAAAAAGAACATAATTAAAAATATTAATAAAAAACTACAATAATATTAAAAGTATGCTAAAATACCACTGTGTTAAAAGTTATTGTATTTAACTCCATTTCCCACACTTAGAAATGCTAAAAGCAAGTATTCTATTATAAAGACAACATGTTGTTTTTAAATTATTTTTTGTTAAATTAGCAACATTTCTTTTTTGTACTATCTGAGTTAGGGCCATGAATATATTAACAATGTTAGGCACACAGGTTTCTGTGATTAATCCATTCATTTGCACTAAACAATACTTACTGTACAATATAAGAGAAACTTATTTTAAATTAAATTGAAATATATTTGTATAACACTTAATTATAATATTGTTACAAAGTGGTAGTAGTAAAGGTAAACTAGTAAAGAAGCTATAGACAACACTGGCCAAACAAAAGAAAAATTAAAATAAATTTAGAAATAGACAAAAATATAGTACAGTTAAAATACATTTTGTAAAATATTTTCTCTCATATTTTCTGTCAACGGCAGTTAGATTTGAATTTTTCATTTTAATTGTGTCTGTGTAGGGTCCTTTACCTCTATAACATTGGAGTCCACGTATCCCAGCAGTCTCTCATCTTTACAGATCACTCCAGCGTCCTCATCATGAGTGCAGTCACTGTTACCCCAGCCACGAGACTTACACACTGACACGCTCCTCTCACTGCCACTGCACTGCACATTGTCAAGCCAAATCTTACCTGCAACAGACACAAACTCTCTGAGCACATACAGAAACTGCTTTATATCTGCTCTGATTGAGTGTGTGAATGCGTGCAGGAACGTTACCTGTGCCCTTGCCATACTTGGCACTGTGAGTCCAGCCCGTGGCAGACACGAAGCCCAGCTGGCGACAGAGGACATGGGCATTGGCCAGCGAGAAGTCATCATCACAGATGGTTCCCCATTCGCCTTTATAAAACACTTCAATTCGGCCCTCGTTGTGTTTCCTGGGGAAGCCAGACAGACGGAACTTCAGAGTCTCCGGGCCTTCTGCTGTCTGAGGGGTCGGTGTGGGGCTTGAGCGCACTGGCGGTGTGGTTTGGGCAAAGCATGATGGAATCCAAGCATGAAGTAGGAAGACAACAATGTGTCGCCACCACTGACACAGCTCCATGTGCGGCTCTGCGGCAGGGAACAGAAACAAAGAGGGGAAGGTTTGAAAAATACTGAAAAACATGTGGTTACTGTTGTGTGAATGTCAGTATGTTTTGATTTGAGCACTATCATGTGTTCACATAGAACATGTTAAGCACACTCCTACCCCTAGTTCTCATTACCGTAATGCAAAAATGTAATTAGTCATTACTGTACTGTAAAAAATGACTGTACACTAAAACAAATGAGTAGGACTTATTTTTTACTAGTAAATGTCACAAAAAAATTACAAAGTAATACACATTGTATTAAACGTTTAATTTTGAAGCAGAAAGACTGAAATAATAATACATACTGCAGTTATCTTTTTTTTCATCTTAATATTTTTTCAAAAATATTTTTTACGGTTTACAGTAAATAACTATTCTCCAAAAAACCCTCTAAAAGTAAAATGTTCAGAAGCATTATGGTAATGATCATGTCACAAAAAAAGCTAAATGTGTCTTGGACATGTTTTCTTGAATTTCCAACAATTGGATATCATTAAATGACAGATTGATTGGAAATTACTAAAACTATTCTGTTCACAAGAGACATTTACCGTAATTTCACTTCTGGTCAAATTTCACCCCAAATGTGTATACTGTTTAAGGACTATTAAGCCTATTTTTAGGATCATGAAGATTTTCTGCCATGCGACATAATTTTTAAGCAAGGTAACTAACCCCCATCACCACTTCTCATTACCGTAATGCAAAAAAAAAAAAAAAAAAACTTTATCATTACCGTAATGCAAAAACTAACTTTATCATTACTGTAATGTAAAAAATATATATACTGCACTAAAAGAAATTTACTTTGTTGCTATAAAATTTCACAAATACATAAGTAAAACAGTATTTTCTTGTAAAATGTACTCCAGTAATATTTATTTACAACTTTGAAAAAAGCATGTTTTGCAGTGTACAGTAACAAGAATCTATTTACTTAATTTTTCTATTAACAATGTCCCACACTGGGAATTCTTTAATTTCTGTCATTAACATTACACCACAACTTTAATGATGTATTGTATTGTGGAAATGAGGTGATGGAATTAAAATTTTGGGATAAAATGGCTCCTTTTTCATCCTATTGGAAATTCATAGCTAGAATTGTTTTAGAATCTTAAATACACATTTTTTTTCTAGAATCTCAAATATGCATCATTTGACTGAACAAGTTGATTGGAAATGACAAATATAACTATTCTATGCGCATGAATATTTCCTTTAAATATGGCCACTTTTGGTCCAGTAGACTTTAAGAAAATAAACTCTTTGAGAACACAGTTTTCTTGTTTGTTAGTTTACTTAATTTTTCTATTAACAATGTCCCACACTGGGAATTCTTTCATTTCTGTCATTAACATTACACCACAACTTTAATGATGTATTGTGGAAATGAGGTGATGGAATTAAAATTTTGGGATAAAATGGCTCCTTTTTCATCCTATTGGAAATTCATAGCTAGAATTGTTTTAGAATCTTAAATACACATTTTTTTTCTAGAATCTCAAATATGCATCATTTGACTGAACAAGTTGATTGGAAATGACAAATATAACTATTCTATGCACAGGAGATATTTACCTTTTACTTTGTTTTCTTCACGACCAATACTTCCTTTGTCTCCTTTCTAATAAAGTAGGCTACACTAACTAACTAATGCATATTACATATTAAATACCTATTAAATCTGCTTAATTGTATAAGACAAGTATTTGAAGTAATTTCAAGAATGTTACATGTGTAAAATTAAATATGTAAAATATGTCCAACTGAATAGATCAATAACTTTTCCTGGATGGATCCAATTATACAAGGGAGTAAAGAGACTGGTGCGCAATTGAAAACTGATCTCCAGTAGCTCAGGGGCACATGATTCACCAGCACATGATATTTCCACGGTAAATATAACTAAATCAAACTATCGGCATAAAATACATGATAAAAACCATAACTCACATCATCGGTAAACTATATCATGCTTTGAAATGCCTATAAACAGGCAAAAGAAATACTGAGGTAACGGCGAGACACAGCCAGGTCTGGACCCCACAAGGTAAATTCACTATCAAACATCAGGTTAATAAACATGTAAGGGCAAAATGCAAACCGATGCTTATTTACTTATTTAAAGGGACTTCAAATGTAGTTCAAGCAGCTCAGCATCTGAAGACTGCTGTTGGGGAGGAGAAAAAGGAACTTCTGACAAAACTCTAATAGTGTTTTAATAATGATATCAGTGTTATTTAAAACCTAAAACTGTTGCAAATGCTTTGACATCATTTATTAGCTTCACTGTAAAACTGAGAGGAATAAAGGGAGGTGATAGAGGAAGTGTAGGCTCCTTGGCGTCCAGCTGCTTTATCTCAGATCATATCTGTGCAAGTAAATAACGTTAACGTTACTCTATTCAACAATATTGATGACACTTTTGCGAAAAAGATCAAACTATTCAATAATATACTCAGAGGAATAAAAATCATAACCCCCCCACCCCCCCTTACCTCAAGTTAAGCGGTCTCTCCAGTCTTGGCACACAGTTTCATGCAGTTTATATTTATGCACAGAACCAGAAAAGCATTCAGAAAAGACTTGAGTACCTGCTGCAGAACCCAGACCTTGTACGAAGCAAAGAAAAGCGTCTAATGAGCAGCAGAGATAACGGGCTGTAACGGCAGTGAATTGCCAGCTAGACAGTCGTGCGGGTGGGAGAGAGAGCGATGGGAGACGGGGCACAGGGGGAGAGGTGGAGCTGACTCGTGGACGACTTCACGCGAATGAAAAGGGGCAGGATTTATTTTAGGAAAAACACATAGCCCTTTCACAGTTCAGGAAAAGATTTTCCTACTTGCATAACGGAACTTTCTTCTGCTCAGGCACGTTCTACGTTTGTAAAAATACATGCTGGGGGATTCTGATCTTTGTGAAATTTGCTGGAATATTAAAAAAAAAAAAAAAAAAAAAAAAAAAAATTATATATATATATATATATAACGTGCCACTGTTAAAATATCAGATTTTAATGAATCAAGTCATTGTTTCTGCATGTCAAAAGCACGAAGAAGCCTTTTTATAGTGATTTATATATTTTATTACAAACATTTTTTTTTTACAAAGGCGCTTTTGTTGAAGAACAATGCTTGTTTTCCATGTTTTAAAAACAAAACGCAAGGCACTTCTTATTTGCTGGTGTAGGAACAAACTGATTATTTACACCGACTTGAGCATTGAGCAAGTAAGGTACACAGATTATAAAGAGAAGGCAACAGAACACATGTTGGTTCAGTGTTGGTTTATGCAACAAGGACACCAAAGTTATTCCAAAGAAGAAAAAAAAAAACAGTTCTCAGGTTTGAGGAGATATATCCATAGTTTAAAAGTTTTTGTTCCCCTCCCTGAAAAAAGGTCAAAGTTTTGCCTGGTCCCTTTCTCTCTCTCACACCGTTATGCAATAATTGTCAAAACAACACTGTTCTCTACAAACAAAATATGAGCTGCATAACATTTATGAAATTCAGATTCTGAACTCACTGTTTTGAGGAGATATATCCATAGTTTAAAAGTTTTTGTTCCCCTCCCTGAAAAAAGTTTTGCCTGGTCCCTTTCTCTCTCTCACACCGTTATGCAATAATTGTCAAAACAACACTGTTCTCTACAAACAAAATATGAGCTGCATAACATTTATGAAATTCAGATTCTGAACTCACTGCGACATTTATTTATATTTAGTCATTTTGCATTTATGTTGCATCAGTTACATATACAGGAGAGCAAAATGAGCAAAGTGCTTGACTGATCAGCTTGCTTTTGAGTAAATGATGTCTGTGCCCCCAAAATAGTGCAATGTACCATAATGATTACTATCACTAGCAACCATAAACAATACAAGTTTCAGTCACTGTTCTTCTGCTTGATGCAATATCAGTTCATAACCAGTAATTATAGTACAGTATAAGATGGCAGCTGACACATTATAAATGATGTCTAATCACGTGGTTGTGATTTAAGCTATGTAAAGGATCAGATCTTGCTGGCTTATTCTCATATCAAGTGGTTGACTGTTTTCAAAAGTTAAAGGCTCTAAACAGTTCTGATGTTTGCAGTAATTCCTTAAACTAGTATAGGCATTTAGTTAATTCTGATTGTTTAACCTAACTGTATAGCATATTTTTAAGAGATGTTATTATAGTAATAGTTTTGGTATCAATAAGATGTCAGAGCTTGGTCTGCATAGTTGAGGGCATGGTCTGATATTTGAAGGCAATTTTGGTCTGTTTGCATAAATATTTCTGTCTTTTGGTAAAAGCTGTGAACTAAGATTGTGTAGCAGATCAGGATGGGTTTGGTAACTCCAAAAGTGCACCAACCGCACCAAAGTAACCCTGAAAAACACAAATAAAATGACTTGAAGTGATTAGTTCAGATATTGTTTAGCTTTGGAGGAATTACAAAGACTCACACACACCTCATGTTGCAGGAACAGGGCTTTGAGTTGTCCTTTGCTCCAGTAGTCCAAAGCATAAGCGAGCAGCTTCATGGATAATGTGTTCACTCGCAGAAAGTTCCCAACAAATACCACTCTTTCAATGTTCTAAATGGAAGAAACTCATAATGAGCACTGATTCTGAAAATGTCATTCTTTTAAGAGGAGTTTCCAAGGAGCTGATTGGCGCCTGGTCTCTCATAGCCCTGTACAATGCTGCTTGATCCAGATTCCACAAGGCAGCACCGTAAAGAGGCTGACAGACAAGGGCAAGGACAACATACTGGTGATTTAAAGTGTGGATGTGCACGTGTACCTCGTTAAGTGCACACATGCGCGTGATTGAGCCAATGTTGTTGGTGATGGTGACAAGTGTTGCTCTAGCCAGATCCTCCTTGGAGACTGAGTCTCTCTTCTCCTTGCACATCATGCTCCCAAAGCTACAAAAGAAAATACACGCACATTATATTGATTAAACTGATTCACGTCTATTATCAGTGTCATTACAGAACCATTTTAAAATGATAACAGTGTCATATAAGGAATAACAATGTAATTGTTTAGATATAACTTGGGGTTAAAAGTAAAAAAAATTAACTATTTTAATCATCAAGGATGCATTAAATGAATCAAAAATGTCCGAAAAAACATTTGTGATGATACAAAAGTTTTCTATTCTGTTCATCAAAGAATCCTAAATTCATTTGGATTGATTTAAGAACATTAAAAACATTAAAAAAAGACCCAAAATTTTCAAAAGCTAGTGTATATGCCTGTACCTGGAGGCAACAGCCCATCCTGGCAAGCCAAATCGTTCATAGTCGCCACCATAGATATCCTTGACTAGTTTATCTACATGTGTACTTTCCCCCTCTGTGGCCATTGCCAATGCCTCCTCAAAGGTGGAGCATCCAGTCAACAGGCAACAAAGCCCAAGGAATGTACCACCACCAAGACTAAAGTGGAGACAGAAAATATTACTATAGCTTTACAGTAAAATGCCCATTTATTTTGTTAAACTGTTGCAATATTATTAAGTCATGACCAACCTGGTTCCAGTAACACGCTTGTAGTTGTCTTTGGAGTATACAGCCAGTATGCTGACACCAGAGCCGATGTTGACAAGCAGCAGAGGATAGGGGTTCTCCAGGTTGTATGCCTTCTGCTCGCAGCGCTCAGGGTCTGTTGGATGTTCAAAATAGTAACATTCAGGTGGACCACTTGAGACCACTGAGTCTATGTACAGAACCCCCTTTATCAGGCATTCAAGCTCATCCAGCTTCAACAGCTGCAGATTGGCCATCTAAGAGAGGAAAGACAGCATAGAGAACCAATTAGTTAAAAGAATAGTTCACCAAAAATCCCCTTCAGACCATTTAAGATGTAGATGAGTTTCTTAAATAGGTACAGATGTGGAGAAATGTACCATTACATCACTTGCTCACCATTGGATCCTGGGTGCCGTAAGACTAAGAGTTCAAACAGCTGATAAAAACATCACAATTCTGGATTATGGAATCGTATTTTATTTTGGTTATAAGTGTTATAAAATCAAAACATCTTAATGATGGATTTTCACTTCACAAGATGTTAATTGATGGGCTAAAGTCGTGTGGGTTACTTGTGGATGTTTTTATCAGCTGTCTGGACGCTCATTCTCACGGCACCCATTCACTGCAGAAGATCCATTGGTGAGCAAGTAATGTAATGCTAAATTTCTCCAAATCTGTTCCGATGAAGAAACAGACTCATCTACATCTTGATCAGACTGAGGCCATCATTTCATTTTTGGTCTATCTATTCCTTTAAACAGATCACATAAAATAATATATATAATTGCAGCAATTTGAGCTTGGACACACCGTACGGAAGCCATCTTCATATTTAAATGCACCACCTCCAGTGGCACAGAGGGTTGTGTGCAGACTGGAGAAATGCTTGTCTCGGCCCATCTGCAGGAAGGCAGGCAGCTCGTGCGTGGGAAAGCGGATGAAGTGCAGGTTGCCCTTGCGGCCCCAAAGTGTGAGGTCAGAGAGCTCCAGGTGAACATCTCGTATACCTGTTTTGCCATAGGCGGTGTGTGAGGTGAGGTAGCGGCGGATGCTTTTCAGACTATCCACCTCCTCCTGTTCTTCTTCCGCTGTAATGTCTTTGGGCTCAAAGTAGACCAGCTTCACCAATGTGCCACCAATGTCCATGCCAAACCATGGGAAAGCTGGGGACCAATAATAGTGAAGTGACTTCAATACCTTGTGCATTTTCTAAACATTTTCTGTGAGTAAGCTCATTTCACTTTGTTAGGAAAAAGTTCACTGTTAACTACATATGAGCAGTTTTATTTTCTGTCATTTTCATTGAGGTTGGCACATTTTCAGCCCTGTAAGTAAAATGGGACAAAATGTATAATACATTAAAAAATAAAAGGTAACAGAGTTATGAATTCAAATACACAATAGTGTTTTAAGTAATTAAAAAAAACACTTCTTATTAATCAAAAAGAAATATTTGTTCCTTGCAAATGGTTGCGTTTGAAGAATAAGTCAACACGACAAGTGTCACACACTTAAATATTAAATTTTTGGTTATAAAACGTTATTACTCTGTACCATTGTACAGTGCTGGGTCGCCTTTTGATATATAAGATTCCTGAAGAATATCTTAAGTGCTTATTAAATTAATCGTCTGTAAATTAGACTTTAGTATTACTGCTATACCATAAGTAAATATATGAATTGTATTATGTTTAATGCTAAATGTTATCTATCGTCTAAACATTTAAGTGCATAGTGTATATTATGTTTTGCATATTAGTCAATAGTATGATGCCAACCGCGAACGCAAAAAATTGACAAAAATGGCTATACAACGTATGACTGTTGGTTTAATTTATATAACGTTATATCTGACATTTTATCACTGTGATTTCACTGTGGCATCAGCTCCGTTAACCCTGTTACCTAGCGCCATAACAAGATGGTTCACCTACGCGGCCTGTTCTTTTTCAGCGAATCGAGCCTCAGCATCGCCGGTGTCGATTTTGACATCCGCTGCTCTCGGAGTGCACTGCCGCCGGCCGCTGCGCTGTCTGCACCCGGTGTAGCCATTATGCTACATGACGCCTCCGTCTTTGATCGAGGCCGCCTGAGCGCTTTCGGTTCTTCCTCTTGCTCCTCCGCACATCCCTCGCCGTCACAGTGGAAGCCATTCACCTCCATTATGTCTTTTACCAATATCAATTGTTAAGCAGAAAAATCACAGTTAACATATATAAATGCATCGTCTGTATTTCATATTGTCATTCTCATCTCCACAGAAAATATTTACGTCGCTGTGTTTACAACACCAGCACAGTTACTCGAAATACCAATGAATGCTCTTCTCCTGTCCTCTGAAATCGCAACGAGCCAATCAGATTGTCAGTTCGGTTCATACGTTGTCTTCTTCAACAGTAGATGGCGCGCTTCACATAACAACTCTGCAAGCATCATTTGTTCACAATCTTTACCGCCTTTTATGCTCTGACTGACCAGAAAAAGACAAAATAAAAGGTAACAGAGTTATGAATTCAAATACACAATAGTGTTTTAAGTAATAATAAAAAAACACTTCTTATTAATCAAAAATAAATATTTGTTCCTTGCAAATGGTTGCGTTTGAAGAATAAGTCAACACGACAAGTGTCACACACTTAAATATTAAATTTTTGGTTATAAAACGTTATTACTCTGTACCATTGTACAGTGCTGGGTCGCCTTTTGATATATAAGATTCCTGAAGAATATCTTAAGTGCTTATTAAATTAATCGTCTGTAAATTAGACTTTAGTATTACTGCTATACCATAAGTAAATATATGAATTGTATTATGTTTAATGCTAAATGTTATCTATCGTCTAAACATTTAAGTGCATAGTGTATATTATGTTTTGCATATTAGTCAATAGTATGATGCCAACCGCGAACGCAAAAAATTGACAAAAATGGCTATACAACGTATGACTGTTGGTTTAATTTATATAACGTTATATCTGACATTTTATCACTGTGATTTCACTGTGGCATCAGCTCCGTTAACCCTGTTACCTAGCGCCATAACAAGATGGTTCACCTACGCGGCCTGTTCTTTTTCAGCGAATCGAGCCTCAGCATCGCCGGTGTCGATTTTGACATCCGCTGCTCTCGGAGTGCACTGCCGCCGGCCGCTGCGCTGTCTGCACCCGGTGTAGCCATTATGCTACATGACGCCTCCGTCTTTGATCGAGGCCGCCTGAGCGCTTTCGGTTCTTCCTCTTGCTCCTCCGCACATCCCTCGCCGTCACAGTGGAAGCCATTCACCTCCATTATGTCTTTTACCAATATCAATTGTTAAGCAGAAAAATCACAGTTAACATATATAAATGCATCGTCTGTATTTCATATTGTCATTCTCATCTCCACAGAAAATATTTACGTCGCTGTGTTTACAACACCAGCACAGTTACTCGAAATACCAATGAATGCTCTTCTCCTGTCCTCTGAAATCGCAACGAGCCAATCAGATTGTCAGTTCGGTTCATACGTTGTCTTCTTCAACAGTAGATGGCGCGCTTCACATAACAACTCTGCAAGCATCATTTGTTCACAATCTTTACCGCCTTTTATGCTCTGACTGACCAGAAAAAGACTCAAGGTAGGACATTTTATTTCAGAAACATTTCTGGAAATCATTACTGACTGTACATGATCAAGATTGAGCAGTACACAAAAGCAAAACAGTTTAGCACAAACATTCCCTTGAAATAAAGTAACTTATCTAACATGAGGATAAAATCACTAGAGAGTTTGGCGAAAGAGATCATGTTGGACAACTAAAATATCAGTCCGTTCCTCATAGCAAGCTATCGAATGGTTATAGAAGTCTTGGTGTATATATTAGGGATGGGTCACGATTTTCGAATATTCGATTAGTTGATTTTATTATAGAATATCGAATAGGTTGTGTGATTATTGTCTTTACAATTTCCCCATGTTTTCCGTGCAGATGCGGTGGTGATGCGTTCATGTAAGCAGAGGGTGGCGCTGCCAATCACGCACCTAGAAACTGTCAAAGACAACAGAAGAACACATTTTCTCAAGCGCACACTATAGACTTGCGTGGCATAAAAAAAGATTTGCATAGCATATATCAGTTACAGTAAGGACGAAGTTCTGTGCGGACCTCAAACACCCCTGACTAGGTTTGAGGTGTGGGTGAATCCGGATTCAGAAAGGTGCGGAAAACAAATAACGCGTTCTACGGAGCCACTAAAGGGACATGGTTAGCCGCTTGTTAACGGTTGCCTGTTACATTACAGTACATAACATTCCACTTACCACATAAACAGAGTAAGGAGAGATGACTGATAGGATGACGGCGAATGATTTGCAGATCCTGAGTACCACTGACAAACATCTAATCTTGTAAAATGTGTGGTAAGTACTGCCGAATCTCGAAAGTGAAAGTAAAAAAATTAGCACGCGGTTCATAAGCGATTTCAATGCCCCGTATATTAATAACGGCTCTCTGATGCCAACAGTTTATAGACAGAATAATTACCCAACAATATAATTGCGACAGAAGATACTGATGTATATTTTTTCTCCCATCTCGTATCTATTCTGTTTAGGGGTTCCCTCTTTATAAATGGAATGTCCTAGCCTTATGGGCAGTTGATTCATGCTAAACGACGGACTCTTATGTTAATAAGTGCCATCATTCGCTTATGTTTATTATATTAATGTTTCAGCACGTTACAATCATTATATGGCTTGAGTTAAGGTAGCCTAGCTTCTGAATTAAACAGTTTATTATACAGATTGAAAGCGTGAATCCCGTCTCTCTCCGTTTATGGGTGTTTGTGCATGCAGTTGGGGGAGGGGTGTGATTTTCAAATAATAATCGAATAATACCCAGCAATTTTCGAATATTATTTTTGCCTGGAATGCCCATCCCTAGTATATAGTACAAACCTTTTATTGTACTACTTTTATTGTACATTTTGTCCTTTTCTTCAGCACCAGTTACTATCCACTGTTATTTATGGAAAAGAGCAGCCTGGACATTTTACTTAAGTCCCTTTGTGTTTCATTGAAAAAAAAAATCATAGGGGTTTCATGCAACACGAGAGTAAGTACATGATGACAAAATTTTCATTTGTGGGTGAACTTCCAGGCCAATAATGCAGCAGAAAGACCAATCCCTGCAGCAGCAATAAGGTGGAAGTTGTTTATCCTGAATAATTCTGGGCGCCCCTCTCCTCTCTGCTCTGGCCTAGCAGCACTGGATTCTTCCTCTCGAACGTTGATGGTGGTTGACTTCTTACTGTCATGCCCAGATGGCTCAGAAAGATGAACTGCACTTCCTGTGCCAACATAGTTCAGGGTATGCTGGTCCTCAGAGATGACTGTGCTACGTTGCAGGATGCTTGGTGGCTGACCATTCATATTTTCAGCAGATGGCTCTTCAGCAAACTGGATTACATTTATCGGTGTATGACTCCCGTAGAAAGATTCATAGTGGTCCTCCTCAGGCTGGTTACAGGTCAAGGGAGCAGCATTGTATGGAGAGTCTTGAAAGGACTGAGTAGCAGAATCAAGGGAAGCAAAGGGAGCGGAGTTCTGGTCTGCAAGACTAGTAGACTCTCCAAGTTCTGTGGAAGAGTCTGTTGCATTGCTGATCTCCAAGTCACCTGAAACCACTGAGCAAGGCTCCTCTTGAAAGACAGGAAGAATCTCTGCTCTGTTCTGCTGGGGTTCTGGATGCTGAAGGACTTCAGGCTTGCTGAAACATTCCTGGTCGATGGAAGAGGGAGAGTGCGTAACCACCTCAGCAGGTGCAGAAGATGTTGCCTGAGCTGTTGTGGTAGAATTTGTTGGAGCATTATTAAAAACTGGCAACCCAACAGTGTTGTTCCTCTGATCCCTCTGCAGAGAAAACAGAAGATTAAGCCACAGAAAACAACATATTAACCATTGGACAAATTTGAAATAGAGTTGACCAGATCCTTTTAATAATGAACTTGCTACGTCACAGATTTGCCTAAGAACAACAGTGAAGTGCTTTGGGTTGAGTATTACCTCATTTGCAGTTGGGTCAGATATCTCTTCCGGCTCCTGAAATGTCCTTTCCATTCTCAATGGGGGATTTGTGTCTTGGACAGGGAGTATCTCAGAAGGGTCCATATCTATGTCTGCTGTTGGCACCTGGGTCTTCTTTGACTTCGGAGAAGTCTGGAAGGTGGTGTAAAGCTTTGTTATTTGACTTTGAGAAGTGGAAGTGTCTGAGGAGGATGCTTGAGCACTTGAGGTGGAGAGGAGAGCTTCACCAGTTGATGAGGAGATGGTGGTTCGGTCTGTTAAAGCCAAGTCATCTGAATTATCTAAAGCAGGTGTTTTGTTCTCAGCTGCCCCAGTGAGGGTTTGAACAGGTAAAGACACTTTAGAAACTGAGACTTCAGGAGGGGAAGGTGCTTGGGAAGGAGCTACAACAGGAGGTGCTACTTCAGCTTGGGAAACTGGTTCAGGAGAAGGTGCTGGAACTGGAGTAGGAGGTTTAACAGGAGCAAGAGATGGTTTGGGGGCTGCAGTGTTGGAAGAGGCAGTTGAACTTGTTGGGGCTCCCCCTGAGGGTGGAATCAGCAGAGGAGGAGTGGTTGCTGGGACTGCATGAACGGTCACTGTGGTTGTGGTTGTTGTGGAACCAGATGAAGTAGAAGAAGCAGCTGGAGCAGGTGCTGGTCTGGGTGTAGGAGCAGCATTATCTATAGATAAAGAAAAAAAGGCATTCATAAAATAACGTCCCTCCTTTTCATAATTTGTTTTGTACACAAGCAAGAAAGCTCTTACTTGTGATGCCCCTGATCCTGTCATAAGTAGCGCTCATCTCATTAGCCAGTTCCCTATGTTCACAGTTCCGGAGTGCAGTGATGAACTCATCAGGCCATTTCTCGCGTCTGCGTAGATTATCTAGAAGTATCTGCATAGCAGTGAAGTTTCCAGAAGTTTCTCTCTTGGCTTCGACCTCTTCCTGCAAAAACACAAATTGAATTAGTAAACAAAAAATAATTTACCCAAGTCTTTTACTTTTGCATATCTAGATATAATTGTGATGTTATCTGTAGTTAAATGTAGTACTGCTTACCCTATCAGTGAATGTGAGGCATTGCAGGTGAGGTAAGATATCTCTCACTTTGACCACTGATGAAAAACGAGCCAAATTCGGCCTTATTGCCTCGTTATAAAATTGCTCGCGTGTAAATGACATTTTTGCACCTATAAAGAGAGAATTACAGAAAAACAGTGTTATTTAGTGGTTTATTGTTATTAATCACACTAAATCAGGGGTGTCCAAACTTGGTTCTGGAGGGCCACTGACTGTCCTGCAAAGTTTAGCTCCAACTTGCCTGAACACACCTGCCTGATAGTTTCTAGTATGCCTAGTAAGACCTTGATTATCTTGTTTAGGTGTGTTCAATTGGGGTTGGAGCTAAACTCTGCAGGACAGTTGCCCTCCAGGAGCAGGAATGGACACCCCTGCACTAAATAAAAACACATACTTGAAAATGACTACCTTCTTTAAATAGTAAAATTCAACAGCCTTTCTTTGTGTCCCTGAATCTGGACTCCAAATCAGACCTGGGAAAAGAATTAGAGAAAATGATTGCAAATGTAAAGTAAAATGTTTGAGAGGGTTATCAATCATTAAAACTGAATTTGAATGTTAGACAATCAGCTAGGCAGAGTGCAGTCTACTGACAATGCTAGAAATATGATCGCATCATCTCATATAATCCATCCTGCTTCAGCACTTCTGGATGTGGGAAGCCTTGAAAGTGAAAGTGAAAGTGAAAACTGGTGTATGCATGAGAATTTTGGGGAAATCCTTACACTAAATAAAAACACATACTTGAAAATGACTACCTTCTTTAAATAGTAAAATTCAACAGCCTTTCTTTGTGTCCCTGAATCTGGACTCCAAATCAGACGCACTAAATAAAAACACATACTTGAAAATGACTACCTTCTTTAAATAGTAAAATTCAACAGCCTTTCTTTGTGTCCCTGAATCTGGACTCCAAATCAGACCTGGGAAAAGAATTAGAGAAAATTATTGCAAATGTAAAGTAAAATGTTTGAGAGGGTTATCAATCATTAAAACTGAATTAGAATGTTAGACAATCAGCTAGGCAGAGTGCAGTCTACTGACAATGCTAGAAATATGATCGCATCATCTCATATAATCCATCCTGCTTCAGCACTTCTGGATGTGGGAAGCCTTGAAAGTGAAAGTGAAAGTGAAAACTGGTGTATGCATGAGAATTTTGGGGAAATCCTTCAGTTTCTATTTGGCCTTCATTAGGAAACACTTTCAAACAACAGATGAAACAGAAATGCATTTGATATAACTGGTGTGACAAATGTTTGTAAAATCGGATATGAGGAACGTAATGCAGATTTTGCATCATTTTTGCAACATTGACTCATCAATACTGGGGATGTCCCTGAACGGGCATTCTTCATATCCGCAAACATTTGTCCCACCAGTTATGTCTAATGCATTTCAGTTTTTTCTAATGATTCACATTATTTCCCAAACTCACAGGAGTACTACATTGTTCATTATATATCATAGCTTTGTCCATTTTTGGTTTGGCTAATGTGTTAATGACTGTATAATGTAACTGTTTGATGTTCTTGATTGTAAGGTCTTATTTAATGTATTTTTAAATCATGCAATCATGTAATGACGACATAGGCTACATTTTTTATTTGGTGACAGACAGATCAGAGCTGCTTTCCTGCAGACACATATAATATTATTCAATTAATATGTATGCTAAGCTTCTGAGTTCATGTACAGTATATTTGTAAATAATTTTCATTTGTCTTAAACATTTAAATTTGTGAAGAATGAGCCAAAGTGTACCTAGATCGCAAACCTTTTTTTGTGTGGTCTTCTGGTGTGATTCCTCACCTGATTTTGATATCTATGTATCAACTTGTGTATCAATTAATTCATATTCATAATATTTTAAAAATTAACCATATTGACAGGACATTGTTGCACATTTAAATAATTTGCACTTAAAATGATCTACAGTAGGCCTATTATCTAACACACCACATCACAGCTGTAACAAAGTGATTCTGACATGAGTGTATACTTTAGTATTTTTGTATGGTACAGAGTACAAAACAGATGTGAACTGGACATTACCCTGCTGATTGAAAATGTAATGATCTCCAAAGATCAAAGCAAAAACTACTGCTGTTCTGCAACCGTTGCTCCTCTTTCCCTCAAAATGATCATTTACACATATATCTGCTGTTCCCAGAAGGAGGGAAATCATGTACAAAACTGAAAAATCCCAAAAGCCAACGGCGAAGCCCTGCTTTTCAATGGATTCCTGTTATATGACCTGTTCAGTTCGGCTATTCACTTGAAACATTTCCATTCAATACACTCCATACAACATTTTTGTGGCATAAACTACCATGACACATCTACTCATTATTTTTTACTGCTATTGTCCATAGTAGAAAAGTAGGAAAAATTATACAGTATAATATAACTTTATATTAACTGAATAATAGAAAAACAATATGAATTTGATTCAAAAAGTGCTGAATCAAAACTCTTCATACAAAATTTAAGTCCAACTCATCCATAAAAAAAATAAATAAAAAATAAAAATATATATATATATAATTTATTTATTTTGTTTGTTTGTTTGTACAGATGTTTATACTGCACAATTCATAAAATTGCATTTTAAGCATTTAAACAAGCATTTAGGCCTACTTTTTCTATTATGAGAATTATAAATTCAGTCGTGTATTCAAACTAAATATTCATGCCCCCTAAAGCCAGCTCAACCAAACAAGCTCAAAAATTCAGCCCACAGTCTTACCTTAGACAGGATTGGCAAAGCAGACAGTCACACAAACATCACCTGCATCTGTGCCACATAACTACACATGTAAAGCAGTAACAAATCACAGCACATCTAGTCTTCAATCTCATAGTGAAAAGGAGGACCCGAAAAAACATCAGAGACTGTTTTTAGTCTGCATCTTAGTCTGTTTTCACTTAAACAGCTCAGAAATTATAATCTGTTGTCAGATTCAATGACAGTACTGCTCTTCTGAACTAAGGCACTGCAGGTTAATCCATAGTTCACGTCCCTTAAAGGTCAAACATGAAATGGTTTAACTGGAGCAGAGTTATTATCTGTCATCTTGAATGATAACAGACATAAGGGTTCATTTACTGTCCTAAGCCACACTAAACTAGACAGGTAGGCAGGTGCTGTCCTTGCTCAGAGCTAATGTGCAGCCAGCCAAGTCCAAGACTATTCACAGTTTCTAATAAATTATTATAGGGTTTAAAGCACGAGGTTAAGGTCACAATGGCAGTCTGCTTAATTGGCGTATGTTCAAGGAAACTGGCAAACCTGCTCTCGTGTGGAATGTCCTCTAAACGACCGCACCATTTCCCTGTAAAATCTTAAAGGAAACATTGTCAAGTACTTCGAGGTGACCAGGAAGCACCTACCCGTCTTGATATACAGCATATACTTTAAAGTATGTTCTGCATGTGCCTGGCGTAAATGATGAAGAGCAAACTTTGAATCCCACGCTAAAGTGATTACGAAGAGATCGGCGAAATTTTAAAACCGATATTTGAGCATGATTTTTCAAGTCGATTTACCAGGAAAAATAGGTCGCAGGAGTCACAAGCATACAAAACGCGCACACAAACGTCTTAAATGATTAAAGTTTGCATTTCTGTAACACGTATATTCAAGAGACTGTCCGTCTGTTTGTAAGTGAAATCGTCACCTGAATTTACTGGTGCGCGAGCTTTATGCAAGACAAGACATTAATACACGAAACGCAAGTACAGTATAATGTACGCACAAAACAACGAACACTGTAGAAATATGAAGTGTATTTGAACTTACCCTTTAGAGGAAGGTCAGTCTGTGAGGTCCTTCGCAGATTGAAGCACTAAGTTTCGATATGCGCGTTTAAAGCACAACCCTCCCCAGCCATCACACGCTCTTTGTCTTTTTCATTGGATCGCGAAACTGTGTATCAACTTGTTACAATATTACGCCACTGAATTCTCATATTTCCGTGTTGCAAAAATGATTTTGGAATCGTATCGTCTTGCAATAGGACAAGTTTAAAAAAACATAACCATTATTATTTGTATCGTTTTTTTTGGCAGGTGCAGCGGGCGTAGGGGACAAATTATGAAGTCGAAAATAAACAAATTATCCTAGGTCAGGTAGACTTTGAAATGCATGGTTGCCTATTTAATTATACAGCTGTTAAAGGTATGGCAGTTGTAAAAAACCGATAAAGACGCCACTGGAAGCTGAAAAACTCTGAGGGAGAGATATGCTGCATACTGAATGTGCCATAGGCTACTTAAGTTCATTTTATGGGTCTAAGCCGCCGTTTTTGTGGCCCGATGATGTTGCCACCATGAAAAATATAAATATTAAAATAAAATATAAATATTAAATGTGCACAAATCTTGTGTCCAATTTCAACAGTAACTATAGAATTGATTTTCAAATGTTCTGTAAAGTTAGCACGTAGCATGCATGCGTGTGAGTTGGGCGGTGTGCACACTGCGCAGGCGCGCGTTCTCAGACATGCGCATTATATACTTGCACATCTGCAGTAATGACAGAAAGAAGTGGTCTACTCCCAAAAATAAATCCTTTAGTAATTTGCGAAAACCCCACAGAGAGTGATCATCTGGGAAAGTAAAGGCTTTGAGCCGTTTACACTATTAATACATTGGAAATATTCCCAGCAAATGTGTTTCGCTTTATTCTTGTTTTACTAAGATGTCCTTGTATTGAGTTAACAGCCTGTTTTGCAAACATATATTAGCCTTATTAGCAAAAAACAACTACTATCAAATTTACTGCGCTGCCCCGATGGATCCTATTTTGTGCCCCGAGCTTTCTAAAATTGAACAGCTACACGGAAAAGGAGATATTTTGTTAAGTCATCTAAAGCAAAAAAATAGAAAGAGGGTGCAGCAGAGTAATAATAATATATTTGATTATTTATGTTGAAGAAACTGTTGATCCTTGGCTATATGCAATTGCCCTCATCTCATGTGTATGTATCAATGGCCAATTCACCAAGTCACCCCAGTGTATATTTCTCTAAATGGCCAGTAGATGGTCCTGTTTGTTCAGAGTGGATTTGTAATCCCATTTTCTTTCACTATCTTGTCTCTATCCCATCCACCTCAGTTCCCACGGTGACTGCATCTTTCACTCTCTTCACGGGTAATGGCTATTATACTATAAAAATACATAATATGAGCATATCTCCTAAGGCTACAGCCAATCTCTTGTGTTTGTGTGTATATGGGCCACTGAAAGCAGAATACTGTGCATGATAAATCACCGGCCTTATGTTTAGCTCAAACATAGTAAATACAATACTGCTCTTTTTAAACCCATTCTTTTTCATACTCTCTGAGTCTAAAGTAAATAGCTACCTAATATTGAGTGTATAAATAGTTGTACATTTTATATTTGTAAATACTTTAGGCAAAGACATTGCGAATGTACTAGATTAGTGGCATCATGTGCTTATGTCATAGAGACTTGCTATGCAAACAAAAAAATCTGCCAAGTAGTGCTTTCAAATGATTAATCGCGATTAATCACGTCCAAAATAAAAGTTTTTGCTTACATAATATATGTGTGTACTGTGTATATTTATTATGCATATATAAATACACACATACAGTATATATTTTACAAATATTTACATGTTTATATTTAAATTCATATAATTTATCTAGAAATATTTTATATATAAACATAACATATTTTTCTTAAATATATATACATGCATGTGTGTGCATTTATATATACATAATAGATATACACAGTACATAGATTCTGTAAACAAAAACTTTTATTTTGGATGCGATTAATCACGATTAATCGTTTGACAGCACTACTGCTATAAGTAATAGATAGCTGTACAAAGTATGTTTAGCTTAGTTAATTGACCCTAATTGACAAGCTCCTAAGTAAAAAATTACATATGCATTTGCTTGTGAATTCCAATCTCATTTGTGGATATTATTCATTGCTGGCCTATATATTGCATGCATGTCACAGTATGTTCACCCTAGAACGTTAAATGTCAGAGGGTATTTTGTAGTAACCAAGCAGGCTTTTAGTTGAAAGAACAGTGATCTTTTAAAAGCACCTCTTGCAAAAAGCACCTAAAGCTAATCATTCATTTGGCACTAATAGAGCCTACACTAAAATAGCATCCACTGTGCGCTCTTGACCAACAATATAGCATGCTCACGTGGTTTTTGTGAGCCATGGTCCTTCCTTCAATCTCTAATCTTTTGATACCACATACAAATAAACACATATATTAAATATATAGTATAATAGTTTGTATATATAGTAAAAAATGCAAAGCTTGCAAGCATATTTCTATGAAACATTTGTAAACAAATCACATTCAAAATGTTTTGAAATATTAGCACCTACATTCTAGGTTCCATTTGAAATCAACCAAAAAGGGACTACAAAATACAAATTTTTCAAGCATATGTTTATTGTTTAGATATACTTAAAACATTTCTTAGTGAAACAGATTCTGAGTCAGAACATACATTATTTAAATATACAACAGACAAAACAGAAGCAGACTAGTGAAATTAAGATTATTTACTTCATAAAAAAAGAAAAGTAACCTTTTTGGCCTTGTGCAACTACACAGGGCAATCAGAAAAGGTTTTCATATTCAATACATACATTTAGTCAATACATGACTGCACAGTTTATTACAAGCTTGGACCAGCTTAGATTCAGCTATCATTCTCCAAAATACAGCTAGCATCTTAAACTGGATTTTCCAGCACAGATATAACAGAGGTCAAAGGTTAGAGTTCAACGTTGCTTTGATTCAGTCGTTCCCATGGTAACGGGTCATTATCCTCTGTGACTGTAGTGTTTCGCCGTTCGCTCCAAAAGTGCTCGAGATCTGGAAGAGTTTGACAGGATGCATCTGAATGCCTCTCTATTATGGTCACACATCCTCGCTCATCCAACACCCTCATAACCACTGTGCGCATCTCATTTCTGTTCCCCTCAAGTTTTAGTCTGTGTTTATCACGTCGACAAGCCAACAGTGAACACAGATTGCTAAGACTTTCTCTGAGGGGCACATGCATGGTCAGAAGAATGGCGGGAAAGAACATGCTGCTCAAGTAAACGCACACCTGAGCAAAAACCAGCAAACCGACTGACGGTTTGCAGCTTTCGCCGGATCTATGGCGCATCCACACCCAAGAAACCCACTCGGGAAGCGTCATCAGCGTGTTCAGGGCGATGACGCATAAATACATCAAAGAATTCTCATATTGACGTGCAAGAAAAGACTCCTCGTGGGAACTCGGTTTGATGAGGAAGATGGTCCTGATGTGGCACACAGCAGAGAGGATGATGGGAAGAACGTAGATGCCCAATGGTAGCATCTTACTGAAAACTCGCATTGCATCTTGGGAGTGAAAAGTTAATTCGGATACACACAGACTGATATTTCCCTCTTCTTTTAACCTGGAAAAAACGATATCAGGAACTGGAAACACGAGCGCAACCGTCCATATGATCATTAAGGTGATCACAACATTTTTCTGACGAAAATTCGACTGCTCCTCGGGATGACTGGAAAAGTTGTGATGTGCTTGACTCGTAGCTAACAATGTAAATGCTTTTACTGCCAAACAGCTGTGCTGAATCCACTCTGTAGTTCTGCAAGCCAGTAGTCCAAGTGTCCAAGTGCGCTTGTAGTATGTGACCGCGCGTGCCGGAGCGCACACAGAGAGTATCATCAAGTCAGTTGCGCTCAAGTTGGCCAGCATCACATTAGCCTCGGATGCGCTCTGGCTGGCGAAAACGTAGATTAGTACCACAAGCACCAAAACATTCCCACCGATCCCAAGCCCACTGATTGTGCTGAGAATAGCTGGTACGATTATTTTAGTATCTTCCCCTTCTAACTGTTGAATGCCACCATCAAAACTCACTAATGTGCTGTTCACTGCCATGTCGAACTCCATGAGACGCAATCCAGTGGGAACTACTCTGATGTGGATGCACTTTGCTGTGCTGAATTCCTTTAGTTGCGCACGCTTGATTGCAGATATTTTAAGAGATGCCATTCAGTGTCGTCAAGCGTCAACGTCATCGTAGCTGAAGGGAAACAAACCCAGATTTGTCTATTGTGCATTTAAAGCATATAATGGCGTCTTCCTTTTTCTCCACAGCACCGCTTGAATGAAGTAAACAAGCAACAACTACAGTTGGAAAAAGCTTCTTCTCCTACTTCTTCTGGATTGTGTTTTGCTATAGTCCAAATGGTGACATTAATCATAAATACAAAATATGTGAGATAACCATTCAGATCATTATCAAAACATGTCTCATTGTGAACTTCTCCACTTACAATAGATCACCAAAAATGTATAATCTGCTAAAATGTGCTCACCCCTCAGGCCATCCAAGATATTGAGGTGATGCATTTAAATTTGAGGATGACTTCTGTACGTTTGTCCAAGTTCACATTGTTGCACTTACATTTTTTATGTGATCTGTTTAAAGGAATAAAAAAAAACCAAAGCTAAAATGATTGCCTCAGGCCATCCAAGATGTAGATGAGTTTGTTTATTCATCAGAACAGATTTGGAAAAATTTAACATTACATCACTTACTCACCAATGGATCCTCTGCAATGAATGGGTGCCGTCAGAATGAGAGTCCAAACAGCTGAGAAAAATATCACAATAATCCATAAGTAATCCACATGACTCCAGTCCATCAGTAAAGTCTTGTAAAGTGATAACAAATCTATCATTAAGGTATTTTAACTTAAAACTTAGACTGTCCCAAAATATGTGTTCATAATCCATAATAATGCTTCCTCCAATGAAAAAGGCCATCCCCTGTTGTCCTCTAAATCCACCAACATGTTTGTTTAGAACAGTTTTGGACTGTCTCTTGGCTTGTAAATGGTGCATGGTATATGCACATTTGTCTCCAGATTCACATGAGACAACTTTTTCTCTGGATAAAGCAATATTATGAATAAAATACTTATTTTAGCCGGAAGTAACAGTTTTATGTTAAAAACGTCTTGACGATGTTTCTTACAAACATGCAGCTTGTTGCTTCACAAGATGTTAATTGATGGACTAGAGTCATGTGGATTACTACAATGTTTTTCTCAGCTGTTTGGGCTCTCATTCTGACGGCACCCATTCACTGCAGAGGATCCATTGGTGACTCTGGTGAGCAACTGATGTAATGCTAAATTTCTTCAAATCTGATGAAGAAACAAACTCATCTAAATTTTGGATGGCCTGAGGATGAGAAAACGTTCAGCAAAATTAAATTTTTGGGTGAACTATTCCTTA